CTGCTTGTAAAAAATATACAAAACAGGCAAATTCCCAGCAATGGAAAGCAGACTGGTGGCTATCAGGGCTGGAATGGGGAGTGTTACTGCTTAATGGACAGGAGGTCTCTTGGGTGGTCCTTTAGGGTTTTGTAAGTAATGGTGATCTTTTTTTTTTTCTTTGTACCAGGAATTGAACTCACAACCTCGCACTTGCCAGGCAGGCACTGTGCCACTGAGCTGTACCCCGGCCCAGTAGTGGTGATCTTTGTGGGATATTTTTAATGTAATTAGTGCCACTGAGTTGTGTACTTAAAATAGTCAAAATAGTTAAAGTGAAAAAATTTTATGTTTCACTATATAGATAACTGCTCACCTCATAGTGAGTGCTTGCTCTAGTGGCTGGAGTGGTGCCCTCCTGCTGGCATTGCCCTGTCTCTAGCTAACAGAGCATGGAGGCCCCCGAGCATCCTAGTTGGTGGCAGAAGTAGGAGAGAGACACACCTGTGGGTCACACAGGAGTGAACAGTGCTGGGAACAGAGCTGAGCAGAGAGGGGAGCAGTGGGAATAGTGTTATTATTTCCACTGGGGAATAAGAACAGGCTGGGGATCATCCCTGATGGGGCAGCCAGCACCTGCTGAGGACATTGGTATACAAAGTGGAGTGGGAAGGGTCAGCAGAGGGCATGTCTGTGGGAGGATCATGGCCAGCCTCTGGGCATCTGAGCACTGCTCAGCAGAGCAGAGGATAGGGCTGTTACCCCTCCTGAGGGCCAGCTCTAACCAGGAGAGGCCTGAGAGGCTCCTGCAGTGGGATGCCGCTGATTTGACACTTTGTTGTGCTTCCCACGAGGTAGGAAGTGACCCACTGCGCCAACCCAGCCAGTAAAGCTCCACATCATAGCAGCTCCAAGGCCAACCCAGCCCTTAGTTCCCTGTGCTGCTCTGTCCCCTAGGACTTCCCCACTGTGACCCCTGTTCTGTCACTGTGCCCAGCTGTGGTCGTTGGCACTGAGGTCCTTTTCTTTTTCTGGATCACTCCCATGGTCAAGGCCCTTGTGCAGCCCAAGATGGCTCTACCTGCAGGTCTCATGCTCTACTTGGAGAAGTTTCTGTGTTTTCTGCCCTGCCTCTTGCTCCCCCGTCTCTCCCTCTGCCATTGGTCTCACCACACCCTCTAGTCACTTGTCACCCATGACCACGTTACCAGCACCAACTATCAGTGACCCTGTGGCTTCCAGGACCCTGTGGACTTGCCCTGGCCTTGGCTGGCTTCTCTAGGCCTCTGTCCTCTCTGGGCATCTCACTCAGACACTTAAAAATGGCTCCCAGACTTGTATGTATTAAAATCTCTGGTGCCTACATAAGGAACCCCAGCCCACCCCTGAGCATCTGATTTAGTTCTGGCCAGATCTGGCGCAGGGATCACACTCTAAAAACCCATTTCCTATGGTGAGAGGGCAGTGAGAGGATCTTGCCAGTGTTCACATGGCACACAATTCCTGGGTCCCTGATTCTGTGCTGGCCTCTGCCTCTCTGCTTTCTCCAGAGGTCCTGTGGTTCCCAGTCTGGACACAAGGTGGTGCCCTGTCCCCACAGTGTCCACTCAGGTGTGGGGATGGGCTGTGGGGCCTTCAGCTGTGCAAGGAATGTATGAAGTGGCCCTGCCAGTATACCCAGGTGGGGGCTGGATGTGTTAGAGGAGGGAGCCACTTTGTCTGCCAGACACCTGGGGAGGCCTTCACATCCCAAACCAGCAAGATGGGCCTTCTCTAGGTCTCACTGTCCCTGACTACCACATATTGTCTTCATCCCATGCTGTTTCCCACATGGCCATCTTCCCCTTCTGGGGAATACTGTTTTTCTTCCAAGAAAAAGCAGGGTCAGCAGAGGAGTGATCTGAGCAAATGGCTCAATCTGGGGACCAATGGGCAAGTTGGGGGGAGTGGGCAGAGCTCACTGCTGTCGTCAGAGGCCCAGGAGCTGTGTGAATGGCGGGTAGAGAGGGATGGTTGGTGCCTGGAAAATTCTGGATGGCCAGAGAGGTTGGCAAGCCTGAGGGAGGAGAAGGAGCTTGAAGGCCACAGCTAGGGTGGTCATCTGGGCATAGGGGACCTGGGAGGTCTCTTCTCAGTGTTATCTCCTTGTTCAGAAGGTAGATGCCCTGGAGTACTGTGGGCCTCTATGCCAGCTGTGTCCCACCCAGCCAATCCCAGGTGGCAGAGATGGAGGTTTCTTCCAGAGGAAGGCCTGCAGGAGCAGCAGGTCTTATCTGTGAAAAGAGCAATGGCAGGTGGAATGATCTGATGAACAAACCTCAGGTCCACACCTTATCCCTAGCTGGACCCCAAGGCTATAATTAAAGGTTCAGGCGGAAGGGATTATAACGGAGGCGGGCAGAGCCCCCCAGGGCCTGATGCTGGAATCAGGAACCCAGTGCTACTGAAGATAACATTCAGGAGCCTTCTTCCTCTTGCCTCCCAGGACTTGGCTTCCAGGAAAGCTACTTGGCCTGGTCTAGCAGGCAGTGGAGAGCCCAGAAAGGAGTCCCATACTTGGAGAAAATTTTGCTGCCAGGAAAGAACAAAAGTCATTTTCCAAGTGAAATGGATTGACATTTTCAATTCGTCATTTCTAAACAAACTGATAAGGGCAAAATTGTCTCTCATTGAAGATGGTGACTAGGACCAACTCTTGGGTGCAGACATGGATGAGGCTGAGGGCCACATGCCTGGTGTGGTCAGATGCCATCCTGGAGGCTGGGGATTTAGCTCAGCGGCACAGCGCCTGCCTGGCAAGCGTGATGTCGTGAGTTCGATTCCCATCACCGGAAAAAAAACAAAACAAAAAAACAAACAAACAGATGCCATCCTGTTCTTGGATCTATACCAATCTGCCTGAAAACAAAGAGTCCCCTCTGGGGTGTGGCTTTCATTACTGTCATGACAATGTCCTGGGCCATTCTGATGGTGGAGTGCCTTCCTTCAGTGCCATAAGTCTGACTCAGCTCTGTACTTTGCAAATTTACCAGTGTCCAGTGTATGATGGAAATTTCATCTACTCTTACATCTACCCATCTGCCTTTCCAATTTTCCACCTACCTACACCATCCATCCATTTACTTAGCCACCGTCCATCCACCTACGTATCCACTCACCCATCCATCTACCTACTCACCCATTGCCTAGTGGCCCCTCTATCCACTTATGTATCTACTCCATCATCCATTTACCCACCAGTTCAACCAACTATCCATCCATCCATCCATCCATTGCTCAACTGTGCAGCACTGACTGAAAAATTTGCTAAGCTAGACTGTTCTAGGCCCCTCAGATTCAGTGGTGGACACAGAAGATCCCTACTCTCATGGGCTTCTATTCCAGCTAGGGAAGCAGACAATAGAGCAAAGTATATGTAAGGAGATTTCATTTCAACAAAGCCCAATGATCTTCAGAAATGCCCTTAGAAGATGAGAAGGCTGTCTGTGCAAAGGCACCAGCCTGGGTGGAGTGTGCCATGTGAAAAGGAAGCCAGGTCATTCTGGCCTCCCTGTGAGGAGGGGAGTAGAGCCTGTTGGAGGATGTGGAGCAGAGGGAGTTGATGCTCTACATAATCCTTATGTATGGAGAAGACATCTGAGGCTGGATTCGGGAAGACTGGTGAGCCAGATCCTTGGGGTGTGGTTCTATTGGATGGTGAGCTGATCCTCTGGGTTGTGGCTAGATAGGGAGTGTGAGTTCCAGAGGGAGCAGAGGCTGCTGCTCTGTGGAGGGACACTGGGGAAGGAAGGAAGCACTGCAGGGTCTCAGCAACTTGACTGTGAGGTGGGAAGAGAGGTTAGTGGTTAATGGATCCAGAGATTGTGACTGATAGCTAAAGGCGTCAAGGTTACCTGGACCAGGGCCAGATGAGGTCTGGAGAGGAGCCTGGGGCCATTGAAGGTCAGGCAGGGGCTGCACAAGGTGGGAGGAGAATCAGCAGCTAAGGAGAGCTAGGCAAGGGATGGTGCACAAGAACTGACCTTTGGATTTGGTGGTGGTGGATAGGCAGAAGCACAGGCTGCTGTCCTGGGGCAGTGTAACCAGGCCCACAGTAGGTTGGGAGTGGGATTTACACCATGAGAAGGCATGAGATAGCCTGGAAGGCAGATGTATTAGTACCTTTTGTGGGTGGAAGGATGAAAACCCAGTATCTGCAGAAGCAAGAGCAACTGGGAGCTCTGCAGTCTGCTAAGTGGCCTGAGCACTTGAGTTGGATGGTCCAGCTTGTCCAGCCCTGAGTGTCTTGACTGGTCTGAGGTCAGACAGTGCCCCCTTCCCCCTACTGGCACTCAGAAAATCTGCTGAACTTTGTCCCAGTTTTGTTCCTCTGCAGCCGAAGCTGAGGTTGATTACCATTTATAGGAATGTGACTGCCTGCTCAGGTTGCCAGCAGGCTCCAGGGACTCAGCGCTGTGGGGGTGGGGTATTGTTTGAGAATGGGAAGCCTCAGGGCTCAGTTGGGAATCTGTCAGAGAATTTTGTTTTGTACTGGGGATTGAATCCAGGGGCTATGCACTGAATTACATCCCCAGCCCTTTCTTACTCTTTATTTTGAAACAATCTTTCTAAGTCATTAAGTTTCCCAAGCTGGTGTACAGCTTTGGATCCTCCTGCTTCAATCTCCCAGAGTGCTGGGATTACAGGTGTGTGCTGCCATGCCTAGCTAGAGAATCTTAAAGTAGCTCTGCATGACAATGTTGCTGCTGACATCCCAAGATTTAAGGCTCACTTTTGAAGTCTGCCACTTCCTCCTCAAAAAAGAACCTTAATGAACTGTCCTGGGCCAGCTCCATTAAGGTTCTTTTTTGAGAGTAGGACCCTATCCACAAAACCTACTGCAAGGGGTTTGGAGCCCCGCAGGGTTATGAGAGGGCCAATTTGCTGGGCTTGCCATCTCTCAGTTCCAAGCCTATGTACTTTCTGCCAAGCCCCGTGACGAGAGGACAGCTGCAGCTCCCCTTCTAGCTATAAAAAACCCCAGCGCCCAGTCAAGCAGAACATACTCAGGACACTCAGGAAGGGGCTCAGGTTGAGCCATGCTGAGGTTGGGCCCTGTCACGCAGCTGCTCCAAGCACCCTTCAAGTACTGGGTGGTTTCCAAGGCCCACATCTCTGCCAAGCCAGCCAGAACCCCCACTTCCCCTATGGTAAGTGATCTGGAGAAGGCAGCAACTGTTCAGGGTTTGGGACAAGTCCAGGCTGGGAGAGGGAGGTGGCTGTGGGCCTGGGTCAGCTGAGTCTGATGGCTGGGAAAGGGGTCCTAATGGCATCACCCACGTGCCAGGCTCCTGAGGCAGCCACAGTGGGGCTCTGAGTACTCTGCTCCCCAGGCCTGTCACCTCCGATAAAAGGCGGTGGTGACCCTGAGCACAGTGGGCCTGTCACTCAGCTTCCCTGACATGGCAGTAGGACTGCTGAGGGGCAGGAGAGATGTAAACTTAAGTCCAGGTCAGCAGAAGTATGCCTCTCTTTTAAGTGTAAACTATTATCTACAAGGTTATTTGCCAAAGGCCATTCAGCTTAGATCAAAATCCAGACTAAGATCGCTGTTCTAAGACATTTGCTCTTAAACCTCTGAGGCTGGAGCGACTGGGCTCTAACTAGGAGTTTTCAAGAGCTGTGAGTTTGCAACAGGAGTGGTGGTACATGCCTGTAATCCCAGGACTGTAATCTCAAGACTTGGGAGTCTTGAGGCTGAGATGGGAGGATCGTTGCGAGTTTGACACCAGCCTGCGCTAAAAAGTGAGCTCAAGGTTAGCTCAAACTGCATAAAGAGAACCTGTCTCAAAAATTAAGAAAAACAAAAAACAAAAAACTGAGTGGAACTGAGTGGAACAGACTGGTACCTTGGACTATGGCCTGCTGAGGATGTGGGTTATGTCTCATGGCACCCTTAAACATATGGCTGCAGGAAACCAGGAGGCATGTGTTTATTTGGCTGAAGGCTCAGCTTAGCGGCACAATTTCTCTCCAGCTTGATATGTGCATCTGGTTAGGACTGAACCAGTGGATTCATGAATGCTTGCTTCTCTCCATCAGGAACAGGCAGTGGGGATCTCTGTCATGTTCATCACCTTCCTGGTTCCTGCGGGCTGGGTCTTGTCCCACCTGGAGAGCTACAAGAAGAGCTCTGTAGCATGAAGACCCCACAGACTCACAGGGCACAGCTCTGAAAGATAACATTAAACTTCCTTCCACATGCTGCTCTTGTTGATTCTTCCAGGTCCCCACTCCCAGCTGAGGGCCTGAGGGACCTCATATATACTCAGCACCAGACTGTCCCTTGGTTGGCTCACGCCGACACTGGGGCACACCAAGTGCCTATCTGAATTCTGTGAGGTGGCAAGGGTATAGATGCCTGTATCTGAGAAGGCACCTGAGTGGGCAAAAGGGGTGGCCAAGTGCTGGGTTCTGTCCTACTTCCCCGAGTGTGGTGGGAGGGGAGGGAAGGGGGCATCCCTAGATTCCAGCTCAGACACACGCTTGGCCTGGAAGCTAAGCCCAAGGACAGGCCCGTAGACAGGACAAAGCAAAGGCATTTATTATAGGAACGTCCTTATACCACATTAGAAAAGATGTCCACACACATAGATGTGGATGAGGACCCTCCTTAGGGTGTGTCCTCTACAGAGTGGAGGACATTCCTTCCTGGTCATGTTCTAACCCTCCCTCATTACCCAAGGCCACCACAGGCTATGAGACACTCCATAAAGGAACCTTTTGCCCGTATCCAGCCCCCATCAACAACAGTTCTGCTTTCAAAGCAAAAACAGCCCCTACTGCCACAAGGGTCCAACTCCCCAAGCCAATGCAGATCTCTGCTGATGAGAGTTTCATGGGCCACAGAAAGGCCTCTTGGGTGGGGCAGGGCTACAAGGCACCAGGCACTAGGTGAGGATGTCATGGGCCTGGTGCTCCACCAGCATCTCCATGCTCTTCACGTCTGTGCACCAGAACTCCAGGCGGTCCTTCATCCCCTTGATCTGCAGGCAAATAAGGACCAGAGAGACATTAAGACACGTGGGTCACAGGCCAAGGGGCAAGCACTATGAACCTAAGAGCTGGGCTGTGGGTGATGGAATCACCTGGTCAGTTCTTATCACAGGGAGTTGGAAAACTTGAGTTAAAGAACAGACATAAATAGAGGAAATCCACAAGATAAAATTACCAGCAAACATCAAATGGATTTGAGCTCAATTCACAAAACCAGGAACATATTTGATCAGAGCACCAATTTTAAGATTAAAAGCCATCATCAGCACAACTAGTACTATTGTCCCAGTAAGCTTCTCAGCAAAGGTCTCAGACCACAGGCCTACATCAAGCTACATTCAAAGAAAAGCCCTTGGTCTTACAGCAGTAATCTGCTCTCCAAACCCAGGTCAGGTGATGCTTTCCCTGAATGGCCTCAGTTCATGTGAAACCATAACCCACACACAATCCCAACCCCATACAGGTGAGCCAGGGGCCCGGCCACCTCACCTGCTGTAGATCTAGCACACGAGGCTGCACCCAGGTCATGTGGACTCGCTTGTCGACCTCATCTATGCTACCTCTCACCAGCCCCACTGAGAGTGCCTTCATCACCAGCAGCTCTACCTGCGCAGAGAGGCTCAGGTGAGATAGCTGACCCAGTGGCTTCCACAGACCAGACGCTTCTCCTATTGCCTAGACAGTGTGCGGCTGAGCACTTATAGGCCTCAGCTCCAACACCTCAAATCCTAGTAGTATACCTCGTTCACTGTGATTTTGGCACTTTTGGCAATTTCTTCAAAAGTGAGCTGTCTGTGGTTTGCAGGTCGTGTGAAAGTCATCTGAAAAGAAGATGTTCATTAACTATTTTTCCAAATAAAAATGGTCAGAGAATTGATTGGTAAAGACATTTTTGTAAATACTTGCTCTGAAAATAGAGATCATCTTTAATACTCTACATACTAGAATTTCCTTGGTATCTCTTATTTTATTCAGAGCAAGCTTTCAAAGCTTTGAGCAAAGGTGAAAATAACTTTACATGAATTTTCAACAACAGTTATTACTCATTCCATGAATAGGCAGTTGAGGCTGCCAAGTCCCTCAGGTCGAGAGTATACCATAGGGAGACAGAAAGTCAAACTCCCTTTCTTTGGAAGCTCATACCCTGGAGATTAGGACACAACGGCCAGGAGGGACAAGTAGCAGATCAGCTGTGTTGGGGTCAGGAACGGGCAGCCATTCCAGCTCAAGGGGTAGTGGGGGTGTGGGGGCTGCCTGAGAGGCTGTCTAAAATGCAAATCTGGAAAAGTCAGTGGTGGCAGGGAGGAGGGTAGGGGGTGGGGCATGGAAAGAAATGTTCACTTGGAAAAGGCAGAGCTCCTGGGTACTTCTTACCTCCATCAGACACAATAACTGAATCTTCCGCAGAAGCTGGGTTTCATTGGCAGCTAAGTCAGGCTGTGAAGTGTAGAAAGACAGTAGATGTCACCTATGTTTATGCTGGTCAGCTGCCTAACCTGGGATTTAAATCCAACAAGGCATGTGCACTGATGTCACAAACACCAAGAACACCAAAAGGCATTTACAGCCCCTTAACCCAAGGCACCATCAAGACAGGATGGGGTCCCAAGAGGTCCTGAGTGGCCCTGGCCATTAAGTGTAGCTGCTCTAAGGATCCTTACACATCAGGGGCTTATACTGAATCCAAAGAGCAAGTGATTAATTCAGAACAACAACAACAACAAATCACCTATTTGTGAGAAGTAGAACACACACTGGAAGACCTACATGATTTCTTCTTGCAGGTAGATTGGTGGGCTCTTCCATGAGCACAAATTAAATCAGGAGAGTTGATCACTTAATTCAAATGTGGAGAAACTCATAACCCTGATAGGCAGCCCTAACAGGGAGACAGGGACACTCCTGCTGTGGGTATTGGACAAGCACTGGTAGCATTCACCTTTGAATTTCCTCTATTCCTTTATATTGCTATGGCCAGACGGCTTCTTGTTTTTTTGAAACAAGTTCTTGGTTTGTTGCCCAGGTTGGTTTCAGGTGATCCTTCTGCTTCAGCCTCCACAGCAGCTGGGACAAGTGCCCAATATGGGAGGTCTGGATGGATCTGGTGTTTTTGGGCTCTTCATAGTCCCTTCACCTGTACTTCACCATGTCTGAATTCTACAAATGTATTTTAAACTTTGGGAAAACTGAAAATACCAGAAGAGTATGAAAACAGAAGATAATCATAATTGCTACCACAGTTAAAGTTTTAGTAATATTTGTTTTTAATAACTTCATTTTAAAAAGAACAGTCTTTTTTTTTTTTTTTGGTTTTTCTCCAGTACCAGGAACCGAACTCATGACCTTGCGCTTGCCAGGCAGGTGCTTTGCCGCTGAGCTAAATCCCCAGCCCCTAAAAAGAACAGTCTTATTGTTCAGCACTTCTGGCGCGTTCGCACCCTGAAACTCCTTCCCTGGGCTGGTCCATGTGCACTGTCCCTGCCATTCCCAGGGATTGACTACTCTCTCTCTCTCTCTCTCCTTCCACTACTGTGTTTGTCTCTCTTACCTTCCCCTTCTCTCACATTTTCACCTATCTGCTCCTGTTGATCACAGGCCTCTGGTTCACCAAATACGTTTAAGAGTCTCCTTTGCTTCTACTCTTTCCAGTTTCTTCACTCATTCCTTGCAAGGGTTCTGTGCCACCCTCAAGCTTGCGCAGATGAAGGGCACATTCTGTTCTGTTCTTCACATGTACCTTGTACCCTACCTTTAGCAATGAGCAGCACTGCTGCTCCCTGATCATCTGATTCCCTGCTCTGTGACAGCAAAGCCTGGCCTGCCATGATACCCTATATGCCAGGGTCTCCCAGGTGCCCGCTGTTCTCAGTGAACATTTATTAGATAAATGGACAAACATAGAGATGAACAAGGGCCTTCGGGAGGTGAGACCTACCTGGTGGCCCCAGGAAGTCTTCAGAGTCTGGAACCTGTCCACATCACCACTATTGAAGGCATAGAGGGTGTCAATCAGCCATTGCCGGTCAGTGCCCCGCAGTGACTCCAGCACAGGGTGCATGAGCTGTGGGGATGGAGACAGTCAGTGGGCAGAAAGTTAGCTACCCTCATCATCAAGAAATCTGCTTCATGGCCAACTTACTAGTTCTCCAAAGTTAAAAACTCCCTCGCCGAGAAGTCCCGCAAGGCCCAGTGTGAAGGCTCTCTCCTGCTGCTCTGAAACTAAGGCAATGACATATCCAGTCACATCTGTCACCACAACCAGCCCTGTTTGGTTTTAAAGAAAGCTTACATAACAAAAGAAGCCTTCTCAGTAATGATTATATTATAGAGCATTAACATCAGCTGTTTTAATGTACTGACTTGCCTTGTATTATATGAGGAACCGCACACACGGGTTTTGTGGGAAGAGCATTCATTTGCGATTTTCTTCCTAAATATACACAACTCTAAATACTGCTCAACATATACTACTTCTGAGGGTGAGGAGTACTCAACCCCTCACCTGCTGCAAGAAGGAGCTTTGCTGCTCAGGTCTCAGAGTCAGTTCAGTCTGCCTCTCTACACATTAGAATTAACTTGTTTTTTGTTCCCTGGCAGCTAAGTTCTTTGCTTTCTTGATTGCATTAGTTGCTTTAACAATATGCTTTTCTCGAGATACATCAATCAAAACTTTATCAGCATTTTTAAGAGTTGCTGGTCTCCTTACCTTCAAGAGTGTATTAAGGAAGACATAAAATATGGTGAAATATTTTTCTAAATACACACTTGGCACTTTTCTTTCCCTCAGATCCTTGAAAAACTTGCATCCTAGGTTTGGAGCTTTACTTTGAACTTGGATTGGTGGATTCAGGGTCTAGAGTGCTCACCGTTTACCATGGAACCTGTTGGAGCTTTACTGTGAGAACAAGGATCTCAGCTATAGGATTTTAGTGCTCTCCACTCTGCAAGGGTCAGGAAGTATTGACATCACTGTACTTCCTACAAGACCTCTGATGAGGGTAACAGTAAGGACTTGGAGAAGGAAGAGTGACAGTGGGAAGAATTACCTTGTTGTCATCTGAATTAAAAAATGGAGACAAAATGATGTAGAAACTAAAGCATAAACAAGTTTTTTCACCTTTTCTTCAAAAAAGGATAAATCCAACTGCATAGTGCTGAGACCTACACCCTCAAGCACAGCACAGCTGCCACATCTAGGGAATATGCTTTTGTACAATATGAACCTAACACCCTTGGGTACCTGGTAGATCCTTGATGTCAACACACCCCAGAAACCGCAGGGCATCTTTGTAGTACGAAGCATGGTTCCCAATTGTTTGATAGTATTTACTGGAGAGATCATAGAAACGACTATGAACTGATGTCACGCCAGGGAGGTTGCGGAGCATCTCTTCAACATCTTCGATTGTTTCCTATGCACAGGAGTAAAACCATCTTAAAAGACTTTAAAATAATGTAAAAGTAAAAAGCTTAACCGGTAAATAGAAAGACTGATATGTATATATTAAAATGGAAAATTTCAGTTCATCCAAAGCACAGAAAACAGTACAAAGATAAGATACAGACCCAAAAAGATATTTATAGCACATGTGACCCCACACAGGATTGTGACCCAGGAAACAAAAACATAAATCAGTCAGAACACAATAGAAAAACCAGTGAAAGACAGTAACACGCAGTTACAGAGGTAACAGTGTGAATGGACTGAGAAATGTAAGGCATCAACAAGATGCCACTCCCCGCCACTAGATTAGCATGACAGAATATGAAAGTGCCAAGAACTGAGGGTACAACATTCAGGAGTGCGTGCCTGGCTTTAGATGTGCACTCTGGTGAGATTCTGTTCACACATGCAGTGAATAGGCACAAAAACGCTAACTTGAACATTGTTCATAATAGAAAAAATAAACTAAATTCAATGCTAATACAAGCACTTTGTAACAGAAAAAAATTCAAATCCTTACATAAGAGACCAGATACTTACAAGGTATAACTAAAAAATATGGTGAATGCTTAAATTTTTAAAATGTATTACAGAAGACACATTGCCATTAATCCCCCTTAAAATACTCCTTGTTGCTTCAACACACTTAATCTTACTGCTCTTGCCACTTTCTGAAGCAGCTCTGGAAATCCTTGTGAACTTTTCAGCTGTGCTACTGTGGCTGCCTTGATGTCCTGAACTGACTCAAACCACTTACCTTTCACGGTCATTTTGACCTTGGCGAAGAGCCAGAAGTTGCACGGTGTCATGTCCAGTGAGTAAGGTAGATGAGCACATCATCACATTTTTATGAGCATGCCTTTCTGTTGGATGGCACCTGGCAGCAGCATTCACCACTTCTGTTTTTGAGACAGGGTCTCATTATGTAGCTCAAGTTGGCCCTGAGCTTGCTATGTAGTACAGGGTGGCCTCAAATCCATGGTGATCTGCCTCCGCCTCTCAAGTGCTGGGATTACAGATGTGCATGATCTCACCTGGTAGCATTCACCACAGTTTTGATCACACCTCATGAAGACACTTATGAAAGAGGACTTCCTGAACTACTTCAGGGAGTGGCAAGAATGATGAGATAAGTATGTTAGAATGAGGGGGCTCAGTGACAATCCGTCTTTTAATGTAAATTTTTAAAAATCTAAACATTCACCATATATTTTGACCACATCCATGTATTATGTAGTATACAAAGAAACACGACATTTGGAGTGAAAATAAATTGCTCAGACATATCAACACTGACTGGAGTTACATGACAGCGCATAAGGGAGTGTGGTTGTAAAGGTCGTGCTGGGGAGGGGTCTGAGTGGAGGGTAGTGTTTGTGCGTGTGTGTGTGCACGTGTGTGCGCGTGTGCGTGCACATGCAGGCACACTATGCTCCTGAGCAGCTTCGGTACAAGGGTCCCTGATTTAGCATTTCCCATAGTATATTACAGTTTTCAGTGTGTCTCAAATATTTCAGAAAAAAAATGCAGTTAAGCATATATGGGCTAAGACTGGGAAACATTAACAAAAAGTATTTTTTAAGGACAACAACATGAACATCTTTAACACTCACACTCAATTATTTTCTTTAATATTATGGTCACCAAAACCAAACCAGTCTTCTAAACAAAGCAGTCTGCTAAACTAGTCTGCTAAGCCACATGTGTTGATATCACTGCCACTTGTATCTACCAAATAAGACAGGCAGCTTCAACAACAATTTAGGAGGCTAAGAGTCACTGGAGGAGCAGCACATGATCTGCCAGTAGAGGGGCTCCCTTGATCAGAGAAGCCACATGCTTTGGACCAGTTGAAGTTTTGTGGAGTCCTGACTGGATAGCCAAACTAGCTACATACAGGTATCATGCCAACAAAACCATTTACTATTAAATGGTTTTAAAAAACACACACAGAGAATTGTAAGGCCAAAGTGGTTCAATGTACACAGTGGGAAATGTGGGTTAGAGGTATGAAAGTTCTTTGTGCTGCTTTTGTAATTTTTCTGCAACTTAAAAATATTCTCAAACAGTTAAAGAATATATTACTTTTTTCCTAGTTTCAGACAGCTTTTTAAGCTAAAAATAAATCTGTGTTATGGTGATCTCACCTTTGTAACCTGTAGATCCCCGATGTTTAATTTTAGAGCTCCGATTGCTGTTTTACATAGGATTACTGCCTCATCACTGCTTTTCACCTGAAGACATCAAAAAACATGGAACTTCAGAAATGTGGGCAGCCTGTCTACGGCCATACCACCCTGAACACGCCCAATCTCGTCTGATCTTGGAAGCTAAGCAGGGTTGGGCCTGGTTAGTACTTGGAAGGGAGAAATGTGGACAGCCTACTTGCAAAGTAAGCCACTATCTGTGTGCTGATTTGACTATAATGATAGCAGACACAAGGTTTCTAAAAGTGTAGACAAAACAAAAAAATAGGGGCTGGGGATTTAGCTCAGCGGCAAAAGCGCCTGCCTGGCAAGCGCAAGGTCGTGAGTTCGGTTCCTGGTACCGGAGAAAAACCAAAAAAAAAAAAAACAAAAAAAAACCCAAAAAAAAAAAAAACCAGATGTGGTGGTGTACACCCATAATCCCAGCACTTGGGAGGTTCAGGCAGGAGGACTGCCATGAGCTCAAGGCCAGCCTGAATTACACAGTGAGTTCAAGGCCACCCTAAACTACACAGAGAAACCCTGTCTCAAAAAAACCCAAACCAAACCAAACCAAACAAAAAGAGTAGACAAAACCTGTAAGCTACACATTCCAAAAGGTGTTATTCAGACTTTATACTCACCTTCTCACGAGTCTTTTCCAGAAAAGTAAGAGCCACATTGGGATCTAGAAGAGAAAGAACAAAGTCAGAAGAATCCCAATAGCTGGTTTCCACCAGCCAATACATCTTTAGGGAGGATAATCTTTAGGGTTAACCCATAAGGTATAATAAAAACATAATTCAGAACCTGATTTTTTCTATCAAATTATATTTTAATTAAGTTATATTTCAAGATCATTCTACCATTTAAAACTGCTCCACTATAAAACAAAGTGAGCTTACCAGTCATCTGTCTAACCACATGAAGAATTATTTCTACCAGTGACAAAGGGTTCACCCTGAAATAGAAACCACAAGTTTATGAATGTCAAAGAATACCAATGCACGCATTTTGAAAGCGAAAAACTGACAAAAGGGTTTTACCTGTGTTCAAATTCACTGATAAAGTTTTCATAAAGCTGTAGAACCAAAACATGGAGAGTAAGTACAGGATTTTGCAAAATAAGACTCCAAACACTGTTTCAGTTGAAGAAGCTCTGTGAATATTATCAAACTAGCAGTTTGCTCCCACATAGTAAGTACTGCATAAATGTTGGCTCAATCAGAGGAGGCTCACAGTAGGGCTTATTTATGTACACACACATGATAAGTGACAGATTAATAAAGAAAGCCAAGGCTTTTTTCTAGCTCTGGGAAATTAGAACACTGACCTGCGAGAACATTCGGAAAAGCAATTCCTGTATTATTTCTCCAAGGTACCCCAAATACAACAGTCAGTCTGAAATGTTCACTTCTTCAATTTCAGAAGGCTATGGGCTAGTTATATCCTTTCACCAAATTTTTTATTCACTACACACTTGAGCACTTTCTCAGATCCCATGGCCAGGTACACAAGACACAGGATGTGTGAGGTGCACATTGAGCCTTCAAGGAGCTTCTGGGGCAGGGAAGACAGTCTGTGAACAAATGAATTAACAATACTGTGTCTTTAAGAACTACAGAAAGAAGACATATCAGCAGGTGAGCCAAACGGAGGGGTTTTAAAGGTTATTCCCAAAGTGTTGATAACTGGGTTTCAAGAAATGAAGAGCAGCTAGAGGGGGCATCTACTGTGGGAGATGGGGAAGGTGAGAGAAGACTTCAGACAGAAACAACCTGCACTGAGTTTCAGGAGTCCTTTTAAAGGACACAGACAGTGGGAGACATTGAGATTAGCCTCTGCCCTAAAGATAGGGCTGAACCTTGGCAGATATCCCTAAGGCAGAGAGGACCACAAAGGAGCTGGAGGGAGACCAGTCTTGTCTTGGCTTTGAAGAGGTAGAAAGATGGAAATGTTCTTGTGACCATTTAGATATTCATATCTGGCACAAAGGCCTTTTCATGATAAGGGAGTATTTTTAAGGGCTTATTTTGTCCACGAGAAAGTAAACTCAAATCTGCTGACCTGAGCATCCTATTACCATGAGGCTAAAGAAACACTGGCATATATGGAAAAGTCACTTAAAGATTAAAAAACAAAGCACAGAGACAAACAATTATAAATACATACCGCTATGATGTAGAACCCTGGAGAACAAACATTAAGAACTGTCTCATTTGTCATTTTTCCACATAATCCAGAAGACAAAACATTCAGTAAAATCTTCAGGCTTACAGATGATTACAAGTTCCTTTGGGTAGTAAATGTCAAATTGGTCGGGCGTGATGGTGCACGCCTGTAATTCCAGCACTTGGGAGGCTGAGGCAGGAGGATCACTCTGAGTCTGAGGCCAGTCTGAGCTACAAAGTGAGTTCAAGGCCAGCCTGACTGCATAGTAAAACCCTACCTCAAAAAGACCAATGAATAAATAAATAAATAAATAAATAAGAAAATGTTGAATTGGTGGCTACAAACCAGAAGAAAATCTTACAAGTCCAGGAGGTAGGGTAGTAAGGTAGTAAACTTTATTGTACTATATTCAGAGAAATATCTTAAACTGTAACTACAGGCTAGTTATCAGTCATAATGCATATACTAATCTCTGATTCCTTCAAAATCAGAGAAAGACATCAAAGAGTAAGATGTCAGGAAAGACTTCAAAGAGAAGGCTTCTAGGGACTGGGGATTTAGCTTAGCGGCACAGCACCTGCCTGGCAAGCGCAAGGTCGTGAGTTCAATTCCCGGTACCAGAAAAAAAAAAAAAAAAAAAAAAAAAAGAGAAGGCTTCCTCTGAATATGTCAGGGGATCTGGTTAAGGCTGGGAATGAGTGTGTAAATTTTTCTCTGTTAACAAAATTCTAGAAGTGATCTATTACAAAGGCACATATTATCAAATCTCCTGCATTCCACCACTTTAAAGCAAAATACAAGCGGTACTCTGTCTTCTATACTACTCAGGACAGAGCTGTCTGGGCAACCAAAATCAGTATGGATAAGGGAGGGGAATTACCTAAAGGTCCCCAGAACAATCCTCTGATACCAGTGGTGATGAACTTATGGTAGATGTGCCGCAGAGGGATGTTTGTATCATTGAAAGCTCTAAAAGGCTCAGCATCAATGCTCTATACCATACTTCACTCCATGATTGAACGAACTTTAAATTTATGTGAAAGTTTTCAAAAGAACAGAAAACAAAAACAAAATAAGTTTGTGAACAAAAAGATATCCAGGCATGCTTTTTTAAGGTCAGATTTTTTTTTGTTATTGTTGTTGTTTTGAGACAAGGTTTCACTACGTTGTTCAGGTTGACTTAAGATTCACAATCATCCTGCCTCAACCTTCTAAGTAGCTGAGATTATAGGTGCACACCACTTTGCCTCTTTTTTTCTTTGGTAATGCTGGGAATTTAACCCAGGGCTGGTACATACTAAGCATGTCCTCTACCAATAGTCTGGAATTTTGGAAAACAGAATTTCTGTATTTGAATAAGTCCTCTTAATAGTTGTAACCTACAGGAAATTACTTAACCTCTTATGTCTGCTTCTACATAAAAAAAAAAGATAAAAGTAGTATTTATCTCCCAATACTGCTATGAAGAATTAGAGTACATATACAAAGTGCTTACATCCGCTTCTCACACAAAGTTGATTAATTACTTGGTGTGGCTTATTATCATAAAGTAAATAATCACAAATTATTTGTAAATAATCACAAATTATTTACCTTAATGAGACCATCTCCTTGGGCAAAGCATGGGTCCTGTACAAAATCAAGGACTTGAAGTGTCAGTTGATGCCATAACCTGAAAAACAAAGGCCCTTAGATCTATAAACAAATATGCAGTTATAGATATCTTCAGTCTGTCAAACAAATACCTACCAGCATCTACTGTTTAGTCCAAAGAGTGCTAAAGCAGATGTTAATAAACCTGAGTTCTTTTCCTGGGTCTGCTATTATGTCACCTGAGCTCATTTATCCTAAGCCTCAGTTTTCTCATACAGCATATAAAATTTAGAACATCTTTCTAGACTGCTTCAAAGGGTTATTGTAAGGGGTGAATGAATGGAAACAAGAATTTTGGAATTATACAGCTCTAATGAAATTCAGGCTCTCCTAATTAGCGGAGTATCTCAGGGAAGCCAAGGAAACAGCTTCAGTTTCCTCATCTGCAAATAGGATAAAGGAAGGATGAAATAAACTAATATATGAAACCTCTAGCACTCTCCCCCGAAAAAACCAAAGACAAATATTTGATAATGCAGACAATATGCTTTGAAAAACACAAAGTGGTCCCCACAACAAGCAATCACTTGCCAAACATTAAGAGTCTTTTTTCAACAACTGCTAACAGCAGAAGACTGTTGAACATCATTACAACCTGTGAATTCCTCTATGAAAGGTTATATGCTAAGTGCTCCGCTGTTAACAGACAGGTTACCACAGGAGGTCTGTTCTCCCGTGGGACAGCTCTAGCTCAAATGCTAGCAACTTATAACTGTTCTGAAGTCACCCTGTGTATAATAAATATAAACTCTGTCATCTCTCTAGGGGCAGTAAGTCCAATAAGAAAAGCAACTGGAAGTGAGCAGAGTGTGTGTAGGACGCACTCTGCAACCAGTTCCAAAATCAACTGGGAACCTGCACTGGCTTCTAGCTTCTGGGCCACAGTCCGTGAGCATAACTAGAGATGGAATCACATTATGACTTGGGTACCATGGACTGTTTCTCCAAAAGGTGGCAACCCGGCCCAAAAGTGTGTTGTTTGAATCAAGAGCTAAAATCGATCACAGGCTGTTACACAGCCTTTTCATAAGACCAGAAGACAATAGAGTTCCGAGGCCTCAGGCACAGTCCCTGGGGCAGGAAAAGTGACTCCAAAACCCTGGCTACAACAGTGCTCCTTAGCTTTCGCCGGCTGCCGCCCCTTTCCCGCGGCTTTGAATCTGAGGATGGCTCAGACCCTCCGATCCCTTATTCCCACAAGTCTCTGCCTCCTCAGGCCTCCCTGACTCAGGTCCACGCGCCCCCTTCCGTCTCAGTCCCCTCGGTTCGGCGCTCACTTCTTTGTGTAGAGCTCCTCCAGACGGTGCCACACAGCAGCCTGCCCGGGCCCGGAGCTCTGACTCTGCTGTAAGAAGCCCGGTACATCCTTCATGACGGCAAGAAAGTGCAAGGAAGAAACACCCCCAAAATGTCAGCGCTGCAGGGATGGCGGCCGGAAGTGCTCACTCACTTCCGTCGCCACAGAGCGCTAGGCATGCCGGGAATGCCATGTCTCCGCATTGCGCCAGTCGTCATGGAAACTGCGCTCCTCTGCGACTGGGGCGAAATTATCTGCCCGGTTTGTGCCGAACTTCCGGTGCACTTGGCCGGGGGCGGGGCGCGTCGGCCGTGTTGCTCCTGGGCGCGCGTGCGCGGAGGAGTATCATGGCGCTGTGGGGCCAACGGGCTAGGTCGGCTCTACGGCTGTGGGGCCCGGGAGGTGAGCGGGGCGGGGCCCGGTTGGGGAAGGCCTGGGAAGGCCTGGGTTTTGCATCCCCTGCTGTTGCCGGTGTACGGAGGGGCGGGCAGCGGCCGGACGTGGGCTCCTGGTTCCTTTCCATCTTGGAGCTGCTACCATTGTAGCGCAGCCCTGTGCTAGGCTCTGGCAGTCCCTTGTGACATTTCATAGTTTACCATTCTCATGTTGAAATGGTTTCTGATCTGTAGTTTTCCCAAATAACAGTGTCACTACAGCCTTAATTGTTTGGATAGATCTCGCTTTTTGGATAAATTTCTGGAACTGAGGTAAACGTTAAACGGCGTAGTTGACCTTCATAAAGGTTGTGCAGTTAATGCTGCCACTCGCAGGTGGTCACATCCGTCTGCACAGTTGTAACACCTAACCCCGGTGCTGAGGCTCAAACCCAGGGCCCTCCCTATGCTAGGCAAGCACTCTACTTCTGAGCGACACCCACAGCCTGGAGTCCTTACATAGGAACTCAGCGTCCATACGGAAAAAATCGTAGGTTCTGTAGTTATCAGGACACAAACGTCCTATAACGGGTGAACGTTTAAGTGAATAATGGTACAGTCTCCTGATTCGTGTTGAAGCGTGTAATGAAAAGATACTCATCTAGGTTACCTTCATTCAGCTCATACTCTGTGCTAGCCCCTGTTTGGGCGGTGGGGATGGAGCAGTGACCAGGACACTTGTTTCCACGCAGTTTTGATATCATTAATTATCTGCACAACTGGCTGGCTGTCATTAAATCCTTGCTGCCACTCCTAACACTGGAGCTGAGCAGTTGCCTGTGAGTGTGGGCAGTCTGCATTTCTACAGTTGGGAATTTCTTCTGCTCCTTGATTGTAGAGTTTGGGCTTGTTGTGCAGATTCATCCTTTGTGTATCTTTGGACTGTCTCTCTGGACAGTGTCTCTCTTAGGTAACATCCATGCCTGTCTCAGGTCTTCTGCTCCCAGGAACTTTCATGCCATGTAGTATGTTCATTTAGTCGTACATTTGAAGTATGTTCTACATTTGATAAAACTTTGTTTGTTAGTGACTCACAACCATTTTACTTGAATAGATGAATAAAAACTACTCTTCCAGTGTCTTATGTAATAACTAGCAATTAGTTGGCACTCAATAATGCTAATTTTTCTTTTGTTCCTTATGTATTTCTCAATGTTTTGCATTTAGTAGAACTCAAAATAATGTTTGGGTGAGGGTTGTGTGTGAATAGATGTTCTCAATGCTGTGTGAATAGGGTATTTAATAGGTGGAAGTTGAGGCTTTCCTTTTTTTATTCTTAATGATCTGACTAGTTTTTGTTAGAAAGCCCCTTTGGGGATTTCATCAACTTGACCTCAGAAGAAGGGGCTTTGCCTTGTAGGGTACCTTTGATGTGGCAGAGCCTTCTTAGAGCCTATGGTCATTTCTAAGTGTTCATGGAGAGGAAATGTTCCTCCCTGCTGTATATGTTTCCTGTACTTGCTGGTGAGAGGTTTCCAGGTATAGGTTCTTCCAAACAAGACTAAGAATTGAGGCTGGGGATGTAGTTCAGCAGTAGTACACTTGGCCTTCATCTCCAGTACCAAAAATCCACATCAGGGTGTTTCAGAGACTTGAGTTCCTTTTTGTGCCCTCAGCCCTGCATGGTACACCTGCTGTTGTCATGGGACACATCTTCCAGAGATGAATTCTTTGTATGGTGGGAGGAGTGACTACACATAGGGCTGCACAAGTTCTGTCCACTGATTTGCAGGCAGCAAAAAAAATCCATGAGTTTCACTGTCATTGACTCAACATGGATGAGGCAGCTGTGTACTGCAGCTGCAGAGAGGGAAGGGATGACAGGAAGGAGCAGTGAGGCAGCACTATTGCCTTTCAGATAAAGGCCAATGACTTCCCATGGAATTTAGCAAGGACGTGGCGTTTGATCCTGGCCTTGACCCTGGGAGATTAGGGCATTCTGAGGCAGGCAAAGGTCTTTTCAGGCAGAGTATACTGAATGATGAAAAGGCTGTTTGGGAACACTAGGGTTTAGGACAGGGCAACCTTTTCTTTGGGTGAAACAAGGGGTACACAAGAGGAAGTAATGGGGTTAAAACTATCACTGGGATGGGATGTGCTGTAATAAGACATTGGAATGTTGTGGGGAACAGAGAGCTTTGAGGGAATCTGTGGCAGCAGGGTGTAAAGTAGATATTTCAAGAGATTTTGCAGTGTTGGTTTTGTAAGGAGCAAAGAAAAAGAAGTGCAATCACTGCATTAGGATCATACTCCTAGAAGACATGTTCTGAATTGTCCTGATATAGCTAAAGATGTGCTTTTAGTATCTTTATTTCTGATGGGTAAAAGAAATATTCTTAATTGCCTGCTCCTCATCCCCACCCCTCACTCTCACCCCTCATCCCTCACCCTTCCCTCTCAGGAGACAGGGTTTCACTATGTAGTTAAGGCTGGCCTTGAATTTACTATGTAGTCCAGGCTGGCCCCAAACACAGCAATCCTACTGCCTCAACCTCCTGAGTGCTAGGGTTACAGGTGTGTGCCTTGTAGTTTAGTTGCCTATACCTGGTTTAGTTGCCTCTTTTATGTCTGTGTTAGCTTTACAGTAGTCTTTTATTTAAGGAGTTGTTCGATTGATTCTTGAATCATTTTTCCCATCAGAGTGGAAGGTTCCATGTGGCAGACAGAGATTCTGTCAAGGATGGTCATCAAGGGCCATCTGATGCAAGAATGGGCCTCGGGTTTGTATCTTCTGGGGGTGTGAAAGGCACCAGAGCCGGGGTGGGGGGTCTGACTGCCCTGAACTCAGCAGGTCACCAGGGTGATGGAGACATGTAGCTTGGTGAGATGCCAAGAAGGTCCTAAAAGGTGAGACTGTGGGTCCAGGAGGCCTTCAAGGGCCACAGGAAGCTGTAGTGCCTTGTGCTTCTCGGCCTACAGCCTTCAGAGGGGTATTTTCAGGTGCTGCTGTAGACTGATGTTCTGTATTACTTTTATTTTCTTCCTCCTGCTCTCCCAGCCTGTGGCCTCAGTTTTGTTTTGTGTGTGTGTTTTGCATTCCTTTCCTGTAAATGACTATTTCATACTCCTAATCTTGGCTCCCAGCTTCTGGAGGTGACCTGAGTGCTACCTGTGCCCCTGGCCTTACCTCACCATATAATGTTGGCAACTGAGTAAAATGTGTTTCAAATCAGCTACAGACACTGAAGATGCTGTAGCAATTTGACTCAGCTGTCAGAGAGTGAGTGTTTCCAAAATGGTTTCGAGAGCTCAGCTTTTATCCCTACAAGGTTTAAAGTTTGAGAATTTTAATTTTCTTCAGATGTCACTGAATATTTATACACATCCCGGGTACATGAGGGTGTGGAGCTCTGCTGAGAATGTGCCCAGATTCTCTTCAAAGGGATGTTCAGGACACTGGCTTGGCCCTTTGGTCTTGGACCTTATTCTCCACGGTACTGGTCTTTGATGGCAGAACTGTGAAGTCCCACTTCCCTGAGTTACACAGTGCCCAATAACCAGAATTTTTTGCCTTCAGGTAAGTCTTCATTTCTGATTCAAGGCTGCTTTCTGCTTTAGCAAGTAGTTATCATGATGAGAAAAGTGGTTATTGTGGGAGACTAAAGTGCATTCCTGTTCTCAGTGATAGGAAGGGTAAGACCATGCTGTTGTTGCTGGCACAAGACTAACTGTCAGCTGCTTGTTTTTTTTCCTTTGTGCTTGCTGTCAGTATTGCAGGTGGCAGAAGGTGCATATCTAATTCTGTGAGTGCTTCAGGCATTTTTGGAAGCAGAGGCAGCAGTGAGAAGAAGTTTTCTCTGCAGGATGTAGCGGAGCTGATTCGAACAAGAGCCTGCCAGAGAGTGGTGGTCATGGTGGGCGCCGGGATCAGCACACCCAGTGGCATTCCAGACTTCAGGTACCTCTGTGGTCCCCAGCCATTGCCACTTCCTTGCCCTCTCAGGAAGGGCTCAGATCTCTTTTCTCTCTGCAGATCTCCAGGGAGTGGCCTCTACAGCAACCTCCTGCAGTATGACATCCCATACCCCGAGGCCATTTTTGAACTTGAATATTTCTTTCACAACCCCAAGCCCTTTTTCACTTTGGCCAAACAGCTGTACCCTGGGAACTATCAACCCAACATTACTCACTACTTCTTCCGGCTGCTCCATGACAAGGGCCTGCTTCTGCGGCTGTACACCCAGAACATTGATGGACTTGAAAGAGGTGAGCCCTCTGTCCCCATTGTATGTTCTCTGCCTGTGTCACCAATATACAACTTTGTAGGTAGGGCTGGGCTTATTGCTTACACCTCATACTTGAGGCCATTTTGACTCAACCTTTGCCTCTGAGTGTTCAAGTCTACATTTATTTATTTATTTATTTGTTTGTTTTTTGTCTTCTTCAGACAGGGTCTCGCTATGCAGTTCATGCTGGGCTTGAGTTCACTTTGTAGCACGTGGTCTCAAACTTGCAATGATCCTCCTGCCTCACCCTTCCAAGTGCTGGGATTATAGATGTGTGCCACCATGCCCGGCTTAAAAGCAATTCTATTTTTTTTTTTTTTTTTTTTGGTACTTGGAGTTGAACTCACGATTTCATGCTTTATAGGCAGGTGCTATGCCGCTGAACTATATCCCCAGCCCCAAGTCTACTTTTAGACCTCCTTGTGGGCTTTTTTCCTGCAAACTTGCTGGGCAATGGTTTTAGGGCAGAACTAAAGTTGGCATTGTTTTGCTGACCTGGTATGATGATGTCTTATTTTTTCTTCTTTTAAGAAATATACTGAGCAGCTGGGTATGGTGGTGCATGCCTGTAATTCCAGCACTTAGGAGGCTGAGGCAGGAGGATTGCTGTGTGTTCAAGGCAAACCTGGGCTACATAGTGAGTTCAAGGCCAGTCTGAACTATGTAGTGAGACTCAGTCTCAGACACCAAAAAAAAGAAGAGAGAAATATATATAGCAAATAAAAATAGTGCAAAGAACCTTCATGTGTTCTTGCTGTGTGCATTACTGATACATAGATAGCCAGCACTTATTCATCTGTGTTTCCTAATCTTCTCTTTCATCCTTAGACTGTTTTTGAGCAGATCAGTGGGTATCTCAAATATAAATTCTTGAAAACCCAGCTCACTACTCTTACCACACTAAAGAGTCACTGTACCTCAGTGTTGTACAACTCAGGCTAAGATGGCCTCTTGGCTGCATCCACATCACATGGTGACCATAAGCTGCATTCATTATGGTACTGGCCAGGGTAGGCATCTAGGAAATGTTTGCTGGGGCCTCACTTAATGTACAGTGACATGGACAGGGTTGAGCTGTCAAAGCCATTACCCCTGCCAGTCTACAGAGGTGCCATGATCTCAGAGAGCTTGTCCTGGAGCATGTTTCATATGAGAAGGAATCCATACCTGAGAACACCAAGGCAGCAGGGGACCTTCCAAGGGACAGAAAGGAAGGCCATAGAAGGAGGTGGGAACTGCTTGGCCAAGAGCTCCAGGGCTGTAGTTAGTACACTGACCAGGGTATGGGAATCTACCTGCAGCCTTTGAGAATCAGATAGTAGTCATGGATAACACTTATGAGATACCACTTTTTGTCTGTCAACCAGCAATTTTTTGGAAATTTATGGTATTTGTATACTCATTTTTACTTGGTATCTGTAGAATAGAACTATGTGTTGCTAGGTGTTAGACATAATTTCATTTGAACTTATATCAAATGGATTTTTGTCTTGAATTTTAAAAGATTTGTTTTAGTGTAGCTTGCTCCCCACTGGGAGCCTCTGCCCTTGTGTATCATCCTGATGGGTAGAAAGTTGTGTATTGGTGACACAGGCTCTACTGAGGAGCTGGAGTCCCTCCCAGGAGGCTTGCCACACTCAAAAGTTGTGTCTGGGCTTGCATGGCCCCAGGAGGCTATAATACTTAGTTTTGGTTTGAATTTCAGTGTCTGGGATCCCTGTTTCAAAGCTGGTTGAAGCTCATGGAACCTTTGCCTCAGCCACCTGCACCATCTGTCGAAGATCCTTCCCAGAGAAGGACTTGTGGGTGAGTTACCCCACTGAGGTTTCCTCTCTTCTGCAGTTCTTGGTAGAAGCAGTCTGTGAATGTGGTATTGTGTGTCATGTTGGAAAGGCAACAGAACAATATTGGTGTGACTATAGTTCTCTTTATTTTTAGTTTAGAAAAGTAACACATGCAATGAGAGCAAATCTCCCTTTAGCCAGTTTCTATTGCCAACCTTCAGCAATTTGGTGTGTAGTATTCCAGGCCTTTATCTGTAAGCACACACTGTATCTGTGTACAGATACTTGATTTCAGAGATAGAATCATAAAGAACTCATTATTCTGTGATTGATTTTTTCCTGCACAGAGCTTCACAGGTGTGTTCTACAGTTTTTCTCACTGTTTTTATTAATTGTAGAGGATCATAGTTAGCCATTTAAATATTATGGGGCATATTATGATTTTTTGATGTAATTTTTACTATTTACCCATTTATACAAACAATCACAATTTTTTGAATTTTTGCTTGAAATTTATATGTATAACCTAGAAAAATTAAATAAAGACAAGTTTGAAGAGGGTGCTGGGGATATAGCTCAGTGGCACAGTGTCTGCCTGGCAAACACAAGGTTCTGAGATCAATTCCCAGTACAAAAAAAAAAGTTTGAAGAGACAAAATTTTATCATGCTCCATTATTATGGGCATTCCAAGAATAGAACGGTAAAACACACTCAGCCACCTTATCTTTAACAAGGGAGCCAAACATGTTCACTGGAAGAAAGATAGCCTTTTTAATAAATGGTGCTGGAAAAACTGACTTTCCACATGCAAAAGACTAAAACTAGACCCATGTCTATCACCATGCACTAAAGTCAGAATGAATTAAAGATCTAAATATTAAAACAGAAACACTAAATCTACTGGAAGAGAAAGTAGGTAGAAATCGTGAAGACATTGGGGTAGGCACAGAGTGCGTGAACAAAAACCAAACTGCATGGGAAATACTTCAAAGAATCAACAACTGGGATCTCATCTTATTGAAAAGTTTTTGCACATCAAAAGAAATCACTAACAGAGTACACAGAAAACCCGTGAATTGGAAAAAATTTTAGCCCACTGTCCCTCAGACAAAGGACTTATATCTAGAACATACAAAGAATTGAAAAAAAATCAGGCCCCCAAAATTCAAAGACCAAATCTAAAAATGGGCATCTGAGATAAATACATACTTCTCAGATGAAGAAATACAAATGGCAAATAAATATATGAAAAAATGTTCAACATCATTGGTTATTTGAGAAATGAAAATTAAAACAACACTGAGATTCCATATCACCCCAGAAAGAATGGCTATCCTCAAGAAATCAACCAATAACAAATACTGGAGAGGCTGCGGAGAAAGGGGAACCCTTCTGCATTGCTGGTGGGAGTGTAGATTGGTGAAACCACTGTGGAAATCAGTGTGGAG